GGCTTCGTCTGACATACTTTGGACATGTTGTAAGGAGGGAGAGGTCCTTGGAGAAGGACATCATGCTTGGTAGGGGGGAGGGACGGTGCAGAAGAAGACCCTCTATAAGGTGGATTGATTCAGTGACTGGGGTAATCGAGATGGGTGTGTCAGAGGCAGTGCGATTGGCAAAGACAGAGCAGAGTTTAGGGCTGTTGTACATTGGGTCACTATGAGTCGCAGGCAACTCGACGGCACATAACAACAATGAAAGCCCCTGGGTCCCGACGGTCTGCTCAGTGGCCAGTTGTGGGGTTGGCACGGGACTGGGCATGGGAGCTGTGAGTCCGGCCTTTGACCTCTGCTAACACCACCACCACCACACGTACAGTTCAGACCGTGAGCCTCTCTCATCAGACGCTTAAGACCCAAATCCACCATGGTAGATTCAAGGAGGGCTCATGGCGACCTCCCATCCTCTCAGTGAGGCTACTGATGGTAATATGAAGAAGAGGCTCCTGTTTCATCTACCTGTCAGAGCAGCTGGTGGGTTAGAACTGCCAACCCTTAGGATAGCAGCAAAACACTTAGTCCACCATACTAGGCTCAATACTGTATTTATAGACTATTTTCACATACCACACATGTGATGTGGGAAGTTAATTTTTGATGGGTTACGTGTTTAGTAAAAAGCACATAATACGTTGTTATTTCTGCAAAAATATGGTCCTTCTCTGCCTAATGCTTCTCCTGTTCTGTTGTTTAGATGTCACTGAGCCACCTATGACACAGTGACGTCAGGAACAGCAGATCGTAACCCCACCTAAGCTCACCATCCTCCCATCCTGTGATTCCATCGCCATGTCCTTGCCGGCAGCCGCTGTCTCGGTCCATCTGATTGAGGGTCTTCCTCTCCTTCACTGACTCTCTACTTTTATCAGCCTGATACCCTTTGCCAAGACCTGGCTCCATCTGACAACATTCCCTAAATATGTGAGATGAAGTTTTACCAGCCTCACCTCCAAGACAGATCTGCTGCTTCTTTTGGCAGTCAGTGCTGGTGAGTACTCAGCCAACATCACAGTTAAGACATTCATTCCTCTTTGGTCTTCAGTACCTGAGTTTCATATGCATATGAAGCCATTACTAGTGCTCTGGTTTGGGTCAGGTGCACCTCAGTGTTCAGACAGACAGCTGAGCTCTTGGCACCTTCGGGAGGTCCTTGGCAGCAGGCGTGCCCAGTGCAGCACATTTGATTTCCTGACTGCTGCTCCCATAGTGACTGATTGTGGATCAAGAAAAAGGAGATCACTGACAACTCCGATATCGTCTCCATCTATCGTGGTGCTTCCTGTTGGTCCAGAGGTGAAGATTTTTGTTTTCTTGACATTCTCTTGCAGTAAAACCCCTCAAACTCACTGCTGTTCTGACTTCCAGTGACTCCCCGTGAGCATTACAAGGCTGTAAATGTGATGAGAGGGGATTGTCCATCTCTCTCCTGGGGAGCTGCCCGTGGATTTGTTCAGCCTCTGGCTAACAGGGCACTTTGCGGGGGACTGCATCATCAGAGCTCCCTGCTCTTGCTCTCACCTACCCCACATGCCGAGGACACAAGTACTCAAAATGCCCCTTCTCACACGCTCAGGGGCTCTGTCAGCGCCTGCAGGGTAAGTGCCGCCCGGCTCACCCTACCTGCTCCAGCCTCAGTCCCTCTGCTCTGTACTGACTCAGATGCAGTAAATATCTTTTCTTCCACAACTCAGTAGATGCTGGCCTCTCAGCCCACGGTTCTTAGACCCTTCTTATGTGTTCGGCAAATGCCAAGTCATCCTTCAAGACTTCATCAAAACTTCTGTCTTGGGAACTCTTCCTTGACGTGTGCTCTGCGCCCACTGCCACGCCTCTGGAGCTTGAGAGCTGAATGTCAGCTAAGGTTTCACGTACTTCGCCCCGTTTGAAGGCGTGTTATAAATGCACAAATGGGTTTTGTCAGTCACTGTACTAACATATCGAGGTATTCTGTTAAAGTCTTGCATGACTTGGTGGAACGTGCAGACTGTTTAATAGACCCGTCACCTAACCAGCAAGGACCAGTCTTTGCGTGGACAAGACCCCCATCCCTGAAGTTTCCACATCTCTGTCTGGGTTCAACATGCACTTGAGCCTCTCCTTGTCACAACACTGAGAGCCATGCATGCAGAAGACCCTTCTGGGCCCTCCTGAAGCATCTCCCACTCCCTCTTACCGCTTCCTGCTTTGAAATTCTTTGAGGAACGAGATTACCTCTAATGTCCCTTGTCCATAGCTGAGTCTCTAACGGTAAATGAAGACATCAAACTATAAACATGGATGATCAATTGGTTGGTTGGTGCTGGGACCGCTAAGATTGCTGCAGACAGACATGTGAAAGCAGCCTGCTTACAACTCACAGAAGCAACTCAGGATTCCATGGCAGACGTGGCCCCCATACTCAGCTGTGCCAGCAAGAAGCAGACCTGGCCTCAATCCAGGAGTGACACCACAGCCCAGGAGGAATGACGTGGGAGATGGGCCAGGAAACCAAGGGCAGCAAAAATAAAAGGATGCGCTGACTAGTCGGAGCTGTACTAGACTGAACTTTATGCCCTGAAAGGACATGCTGAAGTCTTAACCCCTATGTCTGTGACTGACTTTATTGGGTCTTTGCAGTTGCACTAGTTAATATGAGGTTAACACTAATTAACTCCTGTGACTTAGTGGCAAGAAGCTGCACTGCAATCCCAAAGGCACACAGTTCGAGGCCACAAGGTGCTCCACAGGAGAAGGCTGGGCAACCTCCTCTCGTGTGATTAACAGCCTCCGAAAACCCTCCAGAGAGTCAGCTGTGGGTCAGTTCCGAATCTATGGCACACAACAACTGGAATAGATTGAGTTTTAATCCCGTGTGTAGTGTCCCTGTAAAAGAGAAGAGACACAGAGAGACAGGGACAGAGAGGAGAGAGACAGAACAGCCCCTGAAGACAGAGGTCAAGGTTAGAGGGATGGTGCTGCTGGGCCGGACTGGGCTCTTAGGAGGAACCAGGAGTGAGCAAAGAGGTGACGGGTGGCCCTTCTTCAAAACTGAGGGTGTCATAGGCTGTCCTCATGTCCTAGGGCTGCCCTCATGGAGCGCCACACGCTGGGTGGGCTGTGAGAACAGGACTCCAGTGGTCACGGTTCCAGAAGTGCACAAGCAAGTTGGGGGCAGGTTTGTTCCAGGGACTCTGAGGACTGTCCGGTCCCAAGCCTTGTTTGTCCTAGCTTCTCATGACACACGGGGTCCCTTGAGGACTTGACTCACTGTCATCTAACAGCAGTGGAACAGCATCAGCTGAGGGAGAGACCAGGTCACCCCTCTGTGATGTGCACACGCTGGGCTCAACCTCAAGCATTCTCCCAGTTCGGATGTCCTAGAACTAGGAGCTTTTACATATTGGACTGCTAACCAAGAGGTGGGCAGTTCAAGTCCACCAGCTGTTCCCAAAACAAAGATAGGTCATCTCTTCCCAAGATTTACAGGCTTGGAAACCTGACGGAGGAGCACGCCGAGTTAGAATTGCCTCCATGGCAGTGGATCTGCGGGGTGGGGAAGACTGACGTGGGCCAGCCTCCAAACAACAGCCGGCTCCCCAGATGTGGAGGAGACAGCTAGCGAAACATCCAGCTCTGCCTGGGTTTGGGTAACTCAACTCGTCAACACTGTCACAGTAAACACACAGCATGTGAGGCAGATGCAGAGCCCAGGGCATGGGGAGCTGACCCTCCCTCCCCACCCCGCCGCTCACTCACCGTGGACATGTGTGGACTGCTGTGCTGTGAAAACGTCCTCTCTGTCTTGTCTGGCATCTGCGGGCTGAACCAGCGCAGTGACCCTCTCTTCTCTGGGACCGGTGTTTGAGGACATCCTGGAGGACCTGCCCGCAGCATCTTCCACCTCTGATATGGACTCAGCTCATCCACGTCCTGACCGTGGCCGCTCTGAAGAGGGGTCTGGGGCGAAGGGAACTTTGTCTCTGCGGCCTGGCCCGATTTCTCTGGGGTCCAGCTCTGGGCCTCAGGGCTCTCTGGTGCTTCCACTCTTTCTTCTTCACAAGAGGAGACATTTAACTTCTGCTTCAGCTCTTTGTTAATCTCGCTGTCATCCATCTCAACTGGAGAGCTTCACAACCAGGTGAGGAGGAGGAAGAGGCAGCTGTGTGCTCTGCGAAGGAAGGAGGGGTGGTTGAGGGCAGGTTCCTGATAGGGGTCCCATTCCTGGCCCAGCCCCACCCGCTACAGACACCACGGAGCATCCTCCCTATAACATCTCCTTCCTTTATCACCTTCCTCCTGAGGATGGGAGGGCTCTGGCAGCTCTAAGTGATAAAGGCCAGTCTTTGTAGAACTTGTCCAGCTAGCTCGATCTCCTGCCACACGCATGAGGGACTCTCTAGAGCCCAGGCCCTGTCATTGTGCCTGGCCTTCAAAATTATCTATGTCACAATAATCCAGAAAAAGTGGAGTATTACCAAGGGAATCAGGGAAAGGGCCTGGGGGAGGGAAGGAAATGAGCATCAGTGAATGAACGAAAACCACCCTTTCATTAAAACCACAATTTAAAAAACCAAAAGGACTTCTCAGAGCTGAGAAAAGGGAAAGGCAGTATGCAGTAAGGGATTGATTAAACCTTATAATAATTACCTCAAGCAATGGTAATCAGTATTATAAAATAGATCTGGGAGTGACTACATGAAGAACTATCTTGATTTATAAGCTTTCATGCAAATCTAAAAAACAAACAAACAAAAACCCATGCCAAAACCTAAAAGCCATCCAGACTGCTGTGTTCCTAATTCACACCTAAGTGACTTGAAGGCTGCACCCCAAGCAGGTGCAGTGGCTGCTTCTGGGAGGTTCTGAGGCTGGAGGGGCATCAGCCAGCTTGTATTTGCTGCTCTGAATGTTTTGACGCTTTACCATGAGAATAAAGTCAAATGTTAACTGTACATTAAATAAAAGCTGTTTAAAACAATACTTATTAGCTAATTCGGGTACAAGCTAATTGCTGGACAGAGATTACTTAACAATTATAAATATCAGCCTTTCCTGACTGAAGAGGATCAGCCTTCCATGTGGATTATACCTTAACTTAAAGATAACAAAAATCCTCACAACTGGACCAATAAACATCGTCATGATAAGTGGAGAAAGAATTGAAGTTATCAATAAGTTTCTTTTACTTGGTTGCATAATCAATACTTATGGCAGCAGAGTCAAGACATCAGAAGACATGTTGCCTTGGGAAAATCCACTGCCAAGGACCACTCCAAAGTGCTAAAGAGCTAGAGTGTCCAGAACGAAGGCTGCACAGAGGAGTGGACTTGAGGGGAGGGACTGTATAGCAATGAAAGACTTTTTCTTTCACATTTCAAAGGTGTGGTCATGGAGAAAAGTGCAACAATGAATGAATGGAAATCCAAAATATCTGTAAATTTTCATTAAAATTAATAATAACTTAAAAAAAGCACTAGGGTGTCAGTTTAAAGACTACGGTCTGTCTCATGCAAGCCGTGGTACTTTCTTTTTTGGGGTTGAAGAATCTTTTGTCCCCCTTTTATTTATTCATTATTGCACATTTCCCCCTCTTCCTTCCCCCACCCCACTCTGCAATGCACCCCTTGTTCCCGATTGTTCTCATACATCTAATGCATAATCATTGATTCTTTTGGACAGCTCTTCCCCTCGTCTGCTGTAATGCAGTGCTCATTGTCTATCCACTCTTTCCCCATTCCCATCCAACCCCCCACGTCTGTCCTGTCTTATAAGAGCAGTGTTATGCAGTATTTATCCTTTTGTGATGGAGATATTTCACTTAGCATAATGTCCTCAAAGCTCCCCAAGTAATGTTTTACTATTTCATTGTTCTTCAGTGCTGCATAGTATTCCATCATATGAATGTACCATAGTTTTTTCTATCCATTCACTTATTGATGGACACTTGGGTTGCTTCCGTCTCTTTGCTTTGTGAAAAATGCAGCAGTAAACATGGATGTGCATACATCTGTTTGAGTTATGTCTCTGGTTTCTTTAGGGAATATTCCCAGTAGTGGAATTACTTGGTCGAATGGTATTTCTTTTTAAAAAGGCACCAAACTGCCTTCCATAGTGGTTGTACCATTTATCATTCCCACCAGCAGTGAATAAGGATTCTGATCTCTCTACAACCTCACCAGCGTTCGTTGTTTGTGGCCCTGTTGAACTTTGCTATTGTTGCTGGGGGTGAGATCATAGTTGTTTTCAAGCCATGGTAATTGCAATTGTTTTATGTGCCTGTAAAAACTGAACAATGAATATGAATAAGGAAGACCAAATAATTGATCCTTTGAGTTGTGATACTGGTGAATAATGAATATTCCATGGACTCTCAAGAGAACAAATCAGCCTGTCTTGGGGGGAAAGTACAACCAGGGGGTGTTTTTTTTTTGAAGTGAAAATAATGGGACTTCATCTCTGAACACTTTGGACATGTTGATAGGAGAGACTAGTCCTTGGGAAAAGACATCGTGCGTCAAGAAAGAGAGGGTCAGGGGAGAAGAGGGAGAGGAAGACACACACACACGTGTAAGAGGGATTAGCTGTGACTGCAATAACAAGCCTAAATCCAGCAGAGACTGGGAGCCTGGCATAGGTGTGGACGTGGTTTCCTACTGTTGTGTCTGGGGAGTTTCTGAGCAGAGCTGACTCCACATTACCAATAGCCACTCCCCTTCTTTCCAGTCCTCGTCCCAGTGGCTACAAAGCTGCTGCCTTAAGTTGCTCTGACTCCCAGTGACCCTGTAGGAGAGAGCAGGGCCGTCCCATATCGTTTCCAAGACTGTTATCTTCGCGAAAGCAAGCTACCAAGTCCCTCTCCCATGGCGGGCGGCGCTGCTAAGCGGGTAGGAACCACAGACATTTCAATTAGCAGCCAAGCCTCTGAACTATCAAGGTGCCAATCCAATAGCTAAGAGGAGAGAATTCTATCCTGCCATCAGCTGGCTTTTCTATTGGTCTCTGAAGAGCCTTTAACAGGCTGGACCTGAAGTTCTTGACTTCGCCCAGCACACCTGCCTAATCCATGCAGCCCTGCCCCAGGTGTTAGCAGTTAATGCCTGTAGGATATCAAATAAACTTTACAAGTGACAGGAGAGGAAGGAAGTTGGCTTTAAAATGACCAACGTTTTGCAAAAGAAAAAAAAGCCTTATTTGGTTAAATGTTTTCTGTGTTTATCTTAATTATCACTTGAATTCAGTATTTCCTTTTTTCCTCATGGAAGGCTCACAGCATGGCTACCCCCCAACAGCACCCAACAACAATGACTCTCCCCCCCCCCCCGCCCCCGTGTGTGCCCTCATCCTACCGGGAGCCCAGAACCCAGGTCAGAGTGCAGGCCGGCCATGGGCTCCACAGCAGAAGAGGGGCAGTCTACTTCTACAAAAACGTCGTTCTATCCTGACACACAGTGGCCCAGGCACAGACAGAAGGAGGCACTGCCTGGGCTGAGCCTGGGAAGGCCAGTGGGCAGCTGTCTGTCCTGCAGGGTCCGTGTGCACCAGAAGGGATTTCACAGCGGTACGTGGAGCTGAGAGGCACTGATGAGCTTTGACAGCAACTGGAACCAACCTCCCCTCCCTCCTATATTCCTGTGCAGGGAGCCCACCAGGCCAGCCAGGCACCCCCACCTCTCCCCCATGCCCTCCCCACTCCCGCCTACAGCCCTGTGCAGGGACTCCGCCAGGCCCCCTCTTCCTCACATACTCCCCACCCCATCTCAGAACTCCCAGGGGGTCCCTCACACCGGAGGAAAATCCACTTGGGGGAACTTCAGCCCTTTACAGGTGTGCACCGCGCCCCCCCCCCCAGCCCTGGCTGCCACATAGGAAGGTCAGCCTTAGTTAAACCTCACCTTGGTCAGGGCTGCCTTCAGTGCAGGAAAAATGGAACCGCCACAGAGAACGGAGACGCCAGTCTAGGGGAGGAAATTAGTACCAGCCAGAGACCCGTTTCCTGTCTGTAATCAGCCGGCCAGGTGGTGCCACTTCTCCCCCGGCCAAGGCTGGCCGGCCTCCACCTCCTCTTCCTCCACCACCGCTCTGCCAGGACCTGGTGGGAAATGCAACGAGCAAGCAAGGCCAGGTAAAGGGAGCGTCGGGTCCTGGACCCCCTTTATTTCTGACCACACCGCTGTCTGGGGAGGCTGTACCATTGTGACGGCTTAGGCCTCATTATTCCCCGTGGTTCTGACAGAAACTTCCCTTTCTTGGACCCATGTGCTGTCACTCCTGCCTACATGTCGGAATTCCTGCTGGATCAACACTGACTCGTGGGGACCTCACATACAAACCCCACTGCCACGGAGTTGCTTCTGCCACATGGCAACCTTATGACAAGGACAGAATGGAGCTGGCCCACAGGGCCTTCCTGATGGAAGGAAATGATTTGTCTTTCTTACATGGAAGGGCTGCTGAGTTGGAACCACTGATCTTTTGGTTCACGACAGGGTCCTGTGTAAACCAGTGTGTCGCCTGGACCGTGCCACCTTGGTGATGGCTGAAGTGCTGAGTCTATTGTGAGGCCCTCCTGTTGTTGTCTCCTGGAGGGTCCCCCCACCTTTCCCTTCACAGCCATTGTGTCCTAGTCTCAGGTTGTGAGGCCCTTGTGCTGCTGTCTCCCGGAGGGTCCCCCCACCCCTCCCTTCACAGCCATGTCCCAGGCCTGCTCTTCCTGATGTCCAGCCCAGCGCCAAGGCACAGAGGTCTCCTCACCTGAGGGGCAATGTGGTGGCATGTCTGCTAAGGTGGGTTTCAGAGCCCCGGTTGATCCCAGGCCTCTGAGTTGAACTTGTGTTTGTATGATGTGGTTCAATCCACCAGCTGCTCCATGAGAACGATGGGAATCTCCCTCCCGCGCACATGCACTGCCTCCGAAGACCCGCTGGAGGGTCCGCTAAGGGTCGGTTCTGACACAGCAGCTCCAACTACAACAGCCAGCCTCCAAGAAGCTCTGGTTCCTTGACCTGTTTCAGTGTGAACTGCACAGCTGGTGGTTCGAATCTCTCACCATGAGAAGGACCAGCAGCCTCACCCGTAACTATGGTAACCTTGAAACCCAGCAGACACAGTGACAG